TCGGGTGCACATTTATGTGACCCAAATCCAAATCTCAACGGAGTCAAAGTGTGTCAACGACCACGAGTACATTGATTGTGACGCGGTTTGAGATACATTTTCAAAACGTTGCAATTCCTTGATAAAAATAACAGTAAATGATAAAAGCGGTTAAAAGTTAAATTTTGCACATAGGTTCAACATGTATTAAATCAGATAATCAAGCCAAATATGACAGTTGAGCGACCGTGCTAGAACCACGGAACTCGGGAATGCCTAACACCTTCTCCCGGGTTAACAGAATTCCTTATCCGGATTTCTGGTACGCAGACTGTAATATGGAGTCATTCTTTTCCTCGATTCGGGATTAAAATTGGTGACTTGGGACACCCTAAATCTCCCAAGTGGCGACTCTGAAATAAATAAACAAATCCCGTTTCGATTGTCCTTTAATTGGAAAAAACTCCTACGTCTCTCGCGGGGGCGAAAAAAGGAGGTGTGACATCAACAAATTAAATTAATGATTTTCTTTATGACAATGTGGAAAGAATCTTATAGATTTTTGGTGTCTAGCATGTGGGAAGCTCTCGATGGATATGAAGAGGGAGGAAAAAAAAAATATAGTAAATGAGAAATAATATATTCCCTCTATTATAATTTGTTTTGCATTGTTAGACCTCACATGAAATTTAAAAATAATTTTTTTTTAAAACTTGTAATTATAAACATGTCAGAGTATTACTTGTTGATATAAGACAAACTTTTTGGCTTAAACATGACACAGCAATATTTGTGTGATTAACTATAAAATTTATCATTAAGATAATATATTAATTTTTTAGGAACGAACTAGTAAGGGAATATGCCTACAAAATAGGACGGAGGGACTTATTTGTGTTTGATAAGAGTAAATATTTTATAAAATGTTGTTGTTGATGAAATCTTTTTTAATTGTTTCACCTAAAGGGATCATCATTGATGGGTGTGGAAATTTTCCCTCTATTTTCATTTTTAAAATAAAAAAAATTCATTTCACTTAGCTCAATCAACATCTATACATTCTTCTCGATCTTTAATATTCAAAATATTATTGAAGCACGATCCTTATACCATATACTACTCCTTGTAAGATTATCATTTGTTACATGTTTTTTTTTTTTACCAAACTAAACACCAGCACAATGATCAATGCTTTTCTAATACAAAACATTCATCTTTCCCCTCCAAGTGTTAAGGCTTTATATGAACAAGGGAAGCAGAAGAACAAACGACATTTATGGAAGTGATTTATCTGTCAACTAATTAATCTCGTTAAAAGAAAGGTCACGTAAGAGAAAGTACATTTACAAGTCGTCGTCCAGCAGCTTTTTTTTTCTTCTTCTTTTTCTTTCATGAGAATATTGCCTGGTATCCAATGTATAATCTATGGGTTCATTAGATTTTGGTAGGGCTGCTTATCGTGCTGGTCAGACATATTATTATACTTAACGGTTCGACTTATCGGTTATCGGCTCGTAAATGTACTAATTCGCTAGCCAAATCGATAAGATATCGGGCGGATTAATATCAGTTTAGCGATTATCGAGCGATTTATCGGCTAAATCAAATAGACATGAGTGCATATACCACTTAACATTAAATCACTAAATTTAAATGTTGAATTCAACCTGTTTATATGACACTGTCATGCCCGAATATTCAAACCATTAATCACTAACTGAAAATTTATGTAATAGCCATATACTAAATCAGTGTTGAGTATGGCTCTTTCCTTTCTGCTATTGCATCAAACCATATAGTCACATGCAAGTGCATTTTCACTAACCGACAGAAGTCACTAGAATTTGAGAGTGAATTTTCAATAATCTAATAGCACTAAGTTAGTATCTAAGATAAAACAATAACAGTTAGTGTCTTAGTAAACCTTCTGAACTCGAATCATAACTGCTACTTTCACTGCAAGAAACATGGGATACGGCGACATTATATAAATGTCGTCATAAGTCAATTAGATGTCGTAAATTCATTTACCGACCTTTATTTTACACTTATTTCAAATATCGGAAACTTAAATATCGTTAATTTTACGACATTTAAATTAGTGTCGGTAAAAATCTAGTGACATTTATTTGATGTTTATCAAATGTCAACAATTTGAGCTCTTAAACTATCTTGTTTGCGACATACATAGAAATGTCAGATAAATCGTTTACAATTTTTGACATATTATTTGAATATCAAAATCATTATTTATATTATGATTAAAAAGAAAAATATTCTCTTTTTGTTCCTTTAAGTATTATGTAGAATATGTGGTAAGAATGTAGAAAACAATGAATCAACTATTGCTGATCCTACAATACTACAAATATTTTTATTCCTTTCAAAAGTTTCAAGAGTTGTACACCATATACGATTCAAACAACGTAATGAATGACTTCAACACATGACCACATAACCATAACTTTTCTCTTATAATTTTCAAATACACCAACATAATTCAAAGCTTCAGCATCCATGTATTTTTCTTGATGAAGTGTTCCATATACTTTCACCAAATCAGGATTCCTTCACATTAATTGATCTCACAACCTTCAAAATCTGATGTATCCAAGATCTGAATTTTTTTAAAAAAAAATTATCACCAAAGTGATTAAGGGAAAAGGTAAGTAGCAAAATTACATTTTAACCTCATATGGAGTAATATCAACGTTACTAGACTCTTTTGCAGGAAATTCACCTTCAAAAAGAAAACAAAAATAAACAACAAGAAAGAAAAAAGTTCAAGAATTTCAGAAACCAAAATATCACAAATCTCATTTCACTCAAAAAGAAAAGTCCAAACGTACAGAACACGAGTTAGAGTGGATGAATCTGATTGCAACTCCAGATTCTGAGAGCGATAATTGCTGAAATTTAATTCTGGCAGGCGGCCCTTCTAGGTCTGAAACGAATCAAAAGGTTCAATCAAAAGAAATCTCAAGACTATAGACGGCAAATTTAGGGCTATCAACAAACAGTCAAAAGCAGACAAGAAATATAATACAGAAGATTGTGATTTATAGCACTTATATGAAGAAAAATCTTACCGGCGGATTTGGATCAAAATGAGTGAAAGATACGGAGATGGTTGCGGCTTGAAGAGTTGTGGAGGAATCGGGTTGAATGTTATTTTTAACTTTCTTGTATTTCTGTAAAAAGAAGAGAAGTTTAAAGGCCCATAAAGTGCTTAAAGTTATTTTTTCTTGTTGGGCGAAAAAATTATTTTTAACATTTGTTATAAATGTTACTAATTAAATGTTGTTATATTCCTAATAATATGACATTTAAATCAAATGTCAAAATATTTTTGACATGTTTTCAACAAATGTCGGTATTCTTATCACATTTTCTAACAAATGTCACTAAATTAACTTTTTTCGGACATTTATCTTAATTGTCACTAATTAAATGTCGCCGTATCACATATTTCTTGTAGTGTTTGTTAAATAGTGGAAGGATATTTAATATACATAAGGGTAAAAAATACAAATATAAAAATTCTTAACGGGTTAACGGTTTATCCGTTAAGAAAATTGAATAATTCGCCTCAAAACCAATAAATCGTTAATTATAAAATTTCAATCCACTCACCAACAGTTAATATGATAACCCGATACAAATAAGACATTAAGCCAATTTTGTGGTTCAATTTTTGGTTAAGGTTTGGTTTTGAACCTCCCTAAATTTTGGCATAGACTATGTATATGTTTTAAAAGATTCACTAAATGTGCAAAAATAATAGACTTTGAACCTAGTTAATTAGATGAAAGCGGTAGAATTAGAAATTTGAACCCATAAAATTAAAATCCTGAAACCGCCTCCATAATTTATATTGCAATTGTTAAACACGAAGAAACCTTACTTCCTCACAATTATACCAACATTTGTAGATTAATCAAGCTATGACGAATAAATTTTACTTTAGCTATGGAGTTTATCACATCTATCTTCATTTTCCTTGTCGTATTTTCTGAAGAAGCTGAAGACGATGGCTCCGGTGAGCGCATACGAAACCTCGCTGTAACCCTAGCCGGCTTAGTCATGTTCGAGCCAATTAAGTGCGGAAAATTGAGCCGTGCTTTCGAGCCGCGGATCTCAAAAGCGGCTTGGTCATAAGCTAATGCTGCATCCTCCGGAGTCTCATAAGTTCCTAGCCACAGTCTCGCGCCTCTCCTATTCGGATCTCTTATATCTCTGCCGCAAACGTCCCCCATAGCCGCCGCCTCACTCCTATGTAGCGCCTCCAATCTTGCGGCGCGTTTTCCTCACGCGCCACCTAGGCCCCTTTCTTTCCTCCTGGAACTCGGACTTTTCACAGTTTTCATCACAAAGGGAGGTGTTAAAGCTGTTTTCAGCTGAACTTGGGCTAGGGCTATTAAATAATGCATCATTTGAAAAATTCTCAGAAAAATTTGAATCAATCAAAAGGTGCTGCTTGATAGATTCAAGGAAACCAAGGTCAGAGAAAGATATGGTTTCATCAGCTGGATTCATTTTCTTTCCCCTATAAGTTTTGGATGACTAGTTTAATTTGTTGCACTTTCACTTACTAAATTAATGGAATATTTGAAACCCTACTGCTACTTATACATTTTCAGGTTTTTTTTTCTTGATATGTTGGTAGGAACTTCCACGAAGATTACATTTCAAGCACCCACATATTGTGCTTTTTTACATTCATTATTGTAAAATTTCAAGAGAAATAAATAATGTGAACTGATAATCTATTACTATGTAATGAATATTATATTTCCTTCTTGAAAAGTGAGTAAACAACTATATTAATATAGTATATCATGTATGACGAGATCACGTTCATTTCAAAAAACTTCAGATTATTTATTTAAGATCACTGGAATATAATCTTTGCACATATATAAAGGAAAGATTTTATTTGATAAACAAGTTTGTATTCTGTTGGTGACAACATGAGCTACCAAATATCCGAAAGCATTTTATATTCTAATTTCGGTTGGTTGAGGTAATAAATTAAATTATCGAAGTGTTGCAGGTTGTGTTAGTGATAATACACCTGCAAATAGTTTGTTAAAGAACAAGCTGGATTGGCCTAATTATGGGTGTACCAATAGCTTTTTCTGAATTTTAAAACTTGTTTAATAATTTATATCACCCTATGATTGATGGAGAATTCCAATATAGAATGAGTACAAAAATATTATACGAGTGTGCATCAATTGGCCTTTCCCTAAGTTCAATGGCCAAATTTTTTTATTTTTAATTTTTCTCTTTACCCTTAAAACGGATAACAATTAAATTTATATGCGGTTTAAAGGTTAAGTGGTTTAATTTAACAAAAAATGATTAAAGAACGGTATATAATGGAATTGAAGTGAGAATAAAACGATGAAACCAATATGTAAAAGTAATTAGGCCCCGTATTAAGCTTAAATACTAACAATCGACCACAACCGAGCTCTCGAGATGGAGTTCGGATACGGCTAAGTCAATGAGCGATTGAAGAATACTTAGACAATTTGCCATAAGCCAGAATAAGCTTTAGTACTTTGATATGCATGCCAACAGTAACCCAAAAAATAAAAACGTCCCCCACTTTATATAGTAGATGAGTTTTAACCCTAATACTGTTAGATCCAGTTTTAATGATGCAAATAATATACATATGCAGGAAATCAATTACAAGGAATCAAGAAGATATCACAAGATCGCTGGAGTCAATCTTGATGCCTAAGGAAAGAAATCAATCAGCAAAGGTTACATTTCAATCAGCAAATCTGGATGCCTAAGGAAAGAACTCGCAAATCTGGATAACTAAGGAAAGAACTCAATCAGCAAATCAATCAGCAAAAAGTAACGGCCAGCTGCGATGGAGAGAATCAAGCAAGCCTAAACTTAAGTCATGAATCAAGGCCAGCATCCAGGAAGATCGAAGATCCTGTAAAGATTGTTACGCAACTAATTTCAAAAGAACCAACAATCAAGGAGCGAGTCTTTATTACATACGTCTGCTGAAAGAAGGAAATCAATGAAAAGCAACGACTAGCTATCTTATTCTTGGAAAGAATCAATCTCTTTCCAAAGATCAAATCTCTTGGGTTGTCAAGCCTCGACCTTCATCAAAAAATTTATACCCAGCCTTAAACCTTAGTCACATATACTTTGATCGAACCAAAAATCCCTCTCTTTGTTCTGCTGCAAACAAACATTGTAGTTCACTAAGATCTGATGTATAACAAGTTAGAGAAAAAAAACAGAGTATAACACTGGTGAGACATTGTATCAAAAAGAAATGAGTGCTAAAGAAACCGTGTTGTCAATTAATTTCAACTGTACTCAGAGAAACACATTACTAAAGAGAACTCCCTTGCAACGCAAGGGGACTGGACTAGGATTCACATTGAATCCGAACCAGTATAAAATCCTGGTGTCTTTAATTCCTGCATTTACTTTCTGCATCTTACTTTCTGTCATTATAACTGTTAGTTTATTATATCAAGTCGACTACTCGATTAACTAGTCAACTAATAAGAGATTAAGTTTAAATATTTACAATTCACTCCCCCTCGTGTAGTTTTAATTGGTATCAGAGCAATGCTCACATTCTACTTTTGCTTAACAGCTTGTAAGAAAAGATCATGGCAAATCAAGTTATCATAGGAGCTCTCTTTCTGGAAGGAATTTCACAAGTTAGACCATCATACTTTAATGGGCAACATTTCTCCCATTGGAAAGTGCGAATGGAGATCTTTGCCAAAACTTATGACATCAAAGTTTGGAGAGTCATCAAAAAAGGAAACTATCCCTTACCAGCTGCCACTCCACCACTTGCTGATCCTGAAGATATAGATTCATATACAAAAGAGCATATGTAAATGGTACAAGTTAACAACAAAGCGAGAAATCTGTTTCATAACGCTATAAGTGGTAAAGAATATGAGAAAATCTCAAGCTGTGACACAGATAAAGAAATGTGGGACAAGCTTGAGGTCACTTATGAAGGAACCAACAATGTAAAGGAAACACATATAAACATGCTGGTCCATGATTACGAACTCTTTTCAATAAAGAAGGAGAATCTATTGAAGAGATGTTTGCCATGTTTAGCAAAATAATTAACGATCTAAAGGCATTTGGCAAGCCTTACACCAGTGGTGATCAAGTTAGAAAAATTCTCAGGAGTTTGCCAACCACTTGGCAGACCAAAGTTGTCACACTGGAATCTTAAGATTTGCACAAATTATCCTATGATAAACTACGAGGAGAACTCCTAGCTTTTGAAAAGACGCATCTCAAGAAGACCAGTCAAGAAGAAAAAAGAAAATAGTCACATTCAAAACCTCTACTGAAATAGCTAAATACGAAATTGATGATGATCCTGAAGCTTTGCACGAAGAGATTGCTATGCTATCAAGAAACATTGATGGATTGATGAGAAGATACATGAACACAAAGAAAGGAAGAATTCCACCAAGACGATCCAGGCAATACAACGAAAATGATAAGAATGATAGAAAGTGAATGTGGAAGATTTGGACATATTCAAGCTGAGTACCCAGAACTAAAAAGGGAGATCTCTAGAGGCTTCAACAAGAACAAATCCTTTGGAAGCTGGAGCGATGAGGATAATTCAGACCACGAAGAGATAGCAAATCTCCGCTTCATGACAATTCTTGAAAATGAAATGAACAAATCCTCAGGATGCTGGACAGATAAGGGCACTTCACATGAAGAAAATGAAAACTGTTTCATAGCACGAGGTGAAACCAGTGAGGTAAGATCTTATAACTGTGAAAGATGCAATGAATTGCAGGATATTATTGATTTAACTTTGAAAGAGTCTCAAAAAAATGATGAATGAGTTTAAGAGACTCAATAAGGAAGTTAAAGACTGGAAACTCAAACATGATAGAGTTATAAGATAGCCTCAACTACAATCTCTTGAGCATAAGTCAACTCTGGGACTCAGGATAGGAGGTAAATTTTAAGAAAACAGGATGTGCTATTGAAGATGAATCAGGTAAAATAGTCCTTCCTAGAAAAAGGTATGGAAATGTTTATATCCTTGATAGTTTTGAAAAAATAGATGGACATATTTGCTTATCCTCTATGTCTGATGATCCATGGTTGTGGCATAGGAAACTTGGTCATGCTAGCATGCATTTGATAGAAAAATTGTCCAAACATGAGTTAGTTGTTGGTCTACCCAAACTGAATTTTCTAGAACTCATAGTTGTGATGCATGTCATATGGGTAAGTAGACCAGAAACTCTTTCAAAAACAAAGATATAGTATCTACTTCAAAACATTTGCAATTACTTCATATGGATTTACTTGGGCCTACTAGAACTGCTAGTATAGGAGGAAAGAGGTATGCTTTTCTTATTGTTGATGATTATTCACGTTTCACTTGGGTAATTTTCTTATCTCATAAGGATGAAACATTAAGAAATTTTGAAATTTTCTGCAAAAAGGTTGAAAGAGAAAAGGGACATCTGATTTCAACAATTCATAATGACCATGGAGGAGAATTTGAAAGTAGAGCATTTGAAGATTTTGTAATGATCAGGGATACACCCATAATTTCTCTGCACCACGCTCACCACAACAAAATTGGGTTGTAGAAAGAAAGAACAGAATCCTCCAAGATATGGCAAGAACCATGTTACTAGAACATTCTCTGCCAAACCACTTCTGGGCAGAAGGTGTAAGTACAACATGTCACATTCTCAACCGTTGCCTCATATGCCTATTCTGAAGAAGACTCTATATGAATTATGGAAAGGTAAACGTCCCAATATTAGTTACTTCCCTCCCTTCGGAAGTAAATATTTTATCCATAATAACGGTAAGGATAATCTTGGAAAATTCGATCCAAGAAGTGATGAAGATATTTTTCTGGGCCACTCATTAAATAGTAGATCTTTTAGAGTCTATAATAAATGCACATTATATGTGCAAGAATCTGTACATGTTATATTCGATGAAAATAATCCCTTGGTCGAGAAATGAATTATTGTAGGTGATGAAGATCAAGCTCAAGAAACTTAGGAGACCAACAAATCTCAAGAGTCGATTGATATATCTACTGCGACAGAGTCAACTAGTGAAAATAGCAGCAATGTACTAGATTAAAGAATCGAGTCAACTACGAATGTAGTTCACCCAAATGAATGGAGAAGCAAACCTGAATATCCTCAGAATTCATTATAGGGGATCCAAATGAAGGAATGAAAACTAGGGGAGCCCTCAGAAAGAAAGCAAATATTGCATTAATCTCTCAGAATGAGCCAAAAAAGATAGAAGAAGCACTGAAAGATTCAAGCTGGGTACAAGTTATGTAGGAAGAGTTAGATCAGTTCAGTAAGAATTAAATGTGGAATCTGATACCCAAACCTGAAAATGTGTCTGTAATCGGAACAAAGTGGGTTTTTAGAAATAAATTGAACCAGGATGGAAAGGCCGTAAGAAATAAATCCAGACTAGTTGCTCAGGGCTACTTACAACAGGAAGGAGACGAGTATGATGAAACTTTCGCCCCAGTAGCTCGTTTCGAATCCATACGAATTCTTCTGGCATACACATCATTTAAAGGATTCATGCTGTTTCAAATGGATGTTAAAAGTGCCTTTTTGAATGGATTTATCAAAGAATAAGTATATGTGAAACAACCTTCAGGATTTGTAGATTCAAAATTCTTATACCATGTATACAAGCTCACTAAGGCACTATATGGGCTAAAACAAGCTCCACGTGCTTGGTATGATAGACTGAGTTCCTTCCTTGTTGATCATGGCTTCACAAGAGGTAAAATAGATACTACCTTGTTCATTAAAAGATCATCGGGAGGTAACCTTATTATTTAAATTTATGTTGATGATATTATATTTGGTAGTGCTAACCCTCTCATGTGCAAGGAATTTTCAAATATTATGCAAAGAGAATTCGAAATGAGCATGATGGGTGAGCTAACGTTCTTCCTTGGACTACAAATTCAACAATCTGAAGAAGGAACCTTTATATGTTAGACCAAATACACAAAAAGCTGATTTAAAAATTTGGTATGAGTAATGCAAAATCCATTGGCACACCAATGAGCCCTTCCACAAATCTAGACAAAGACGAACATGGCATTCCTGTTGATAAAACTAAATGTCGTGGAATGATTGGATCACCGCTGTATCTAACAACAAATCGACCGAATATTATGTTCAGTGTATGTAAATTTGCCAGGTTTCAGTCAGCTCCTAAGGAATCACATTTGACCGCCGTGAAAAGAATCATTCGATATCTTATTGGGACTGTATCTCATGGACTATGGTATCTTCGCTCAAACTCTTTTAAATTAGAAGGTTTTTCAAATGCTAACCTTGCAGGTGATAAGGACGATAGAAAAAGCACAAGTGGTACATGTCAATTACTGGGAAAGGCATTGATATCCTGGAACAGTAAAAAACAAGGATCAGTCGCATTGTCTGCTACTGAAGCTGGATACAATGCTGCTGGACAATGCTGCGCACAACTACTGTAGATGTCTCATCAACTGGGTGACTATGAACTTTCTTTTAAGCCTATACAAACTTTTTTGTGACAATCTAGTGCTATTTGTCTTTCCAAAAATTCTGTGCACCACTCTAGAGCAAAGCATATAGATATCAAGCATCATTTTATTAGAGATCATGTTCTTAAGAGAGACATAGAAATATCTTTTGTTGGAACCACTGATCAGTTAGCTGATATTTTTACTAAACCTTCATTAGAAGAGAGATTTTGTGATTTAAGAAAATTACTTGGTATTACTTGCATTACTAATAACTTTTAAGACCTATGTGTATTGTTAATTTTTTTTTTGCAATGATTGTCCTTTACCCATGCATTTATTACGCCTCCATTTTCCCTCTCTTTTCTCTTCTTTTACATTAGTTCGTCGTGCAAAGTTGAAAAGCCAATCATCACGTCTCTTCAACTGACAATTTTTCCTTTTCTGTACTCAACCGTCAGACACCCTCTTCTTAAGGCGGAGAACCTTTTTCAGTGTGCCCTATTTGATTCGCTCTTTCAGTGTCGTTGTTCTGGTTTTCCTATGTTGTTTAAAAATACCTGGCCTGATGACTTTGAAATTTCCTTTGACCAAGCCAAATAGTGTATTGCTGACTGTCCCTCTGACTCCCTACCAAACCAGTTAGGTCCCAGTAATGTCAGTTTCGAAACTCGGATTCTGGCCTACATTGTAGCAACTACTTTACTTCCCCGTACTGGTTCCTTTTCAACCTTATCTCAAAGAGGCACTTTCTTCATCTATTGCCTCGTGACCAAACTCAAAATCAATATTTCCTCCTGGGTTATCAATTTCATGATCGAGAGTGCTGAAGATCCCACCAGTCTACCCTATGGCATGGAAATCACTCACATTCTGGAAGCTTATCAAATTTCCCTGTCCAACTATCCCTTCATCACTACCTCTAAGTCTTACAATTTTAGAGCCTTTGCTAGTATGGGATATGTGAGTTTAAAGTGTTATTAGGTTAAGAAGCACGATAGTGAAGCAAAGCATGCACCTGTAGAGCCTAAACCTTCACCCGTTGTCCCTCATCCTAGTCTTGACAGCCCTGATCTTGGTGAAAAGCTTCATGCTATTGACTCTCAACTCTCTAAAATAAAAAATCTTCTCAAAGCCACTCAATCTACTGTTCGTGACATTCATGCCATTTCCAAGGAAATAGGGTCTGATGTGTCCAAAATTAGAGTTGCTGTTTTCAGAGTTAGGGAGAAGGCTGTCAAAGCCTTCAGGGAGATTCATGACAGGTTGGATGGAGTGAGCATCTCAGCCAATGCAAGCTTTGAACAATTGAAGGAGGTCATCTGCAACACCCTTACTTATTTTCTGCACCGTTACTGTGGTTGTTTTAAAAATATTTCTTTTGCTCTGCTGGTTTTGGGCTGTGTTTTCAGCCTTTGGATAATTTATTTTTTGCTGTGCTATTTTTGTGGGCTGTTTTCTCAGCCATTGGATGATTCCTATAACTCTCATGTTTAATTGCTATATATTCTGTTTAGTTCTTAGCTTGTTCCCTCTTTGCTGATGGCAAAAAGGGGGAGAAAGAGTATATGTTATATCTGTACAGGTTCAGTTTGTGGCAGGAGTCGACTCAACCATAGACTAGTCAACTGCATACATTGAGGGGGAGTATCATGGACTAGTCAACTGCATACATTGAGGGTGAGTAAAACATAGGGAAGTCAACTGGTGTTTACATTTGTATATTATTTTGTCATCATAAAAAAGGGGGAGATTGTTAGATCCAGTTTTAATGATGCAAATAATATACATATGCAGGAAATCAATTACAAGGAATCAAGAAGATACTACAAGATCGCTGGAGTCAATTTTGATGCCTAAGGAAAGAAATCAATCAGCAAAGATTACAATCCAATCAGCAAATCTGGATGCCCAAGGAAAGAACTCGCAAATCTGGATAACTAAGGAAAGAACTCAATCAGCAAATCAATCAGCAAAGAGTAACGGCTAGCTGCGATGGAGAGAATCAAGCAAGCCTAAACTTAAGGCATGAATCAAGGCCAGCATCTAGGAAGATCGAAGATCCTGTAAAGATTGATACGCAACTAATTTCAGAAGAACCAACAATCAAGGAGCAAGTGTTCATTACATACATCTGCTGAAAGAAGGAAAAGGAAAAGTAACATCTAGCTATCTTATTCTTGGAAAGAATCAATATCTTTCTAAGGATAAAATCTTTTGGGTTGTCAAGCCTCGACCTTCATCAAAGTATTTATACCCAGCCTTAAACCTTCGTCATATATACTTTGATCAAACCAAAAATACCTCTCTTTGTTCTACTGCAAACAAACATTGTAGTTCACTAAGATCTGTTGTGTAATAATTCAGAGAAAAAAAGAGAGTATAACACCGGTGAGACATTGTATCAAAAAGAAACGAGTGCTAGAGAAACCGTTTTGTCAATTCATTTCAACTGTACTTGGAGAAACACATTACTAAAGAGAACTCTCTTGCAACCCAAGGGGACTGGACTAGGATTCACATTGAATCCAAATCAGTATAAAATCTTGGTGTCTTTAATTCCTGCATTTACTTTCTGATCTTACTTTCTATCATTATAACTATTAGGTTATTATATCCAGTCGACTACTCGATTATCTAGTCAACTAATAAGTGATTAGGTTTAAATATTTATAATTCACCCCCTCTTGTACTTTAAAATACAAGTCTAAATAAGGTATCCTTCACTTATGTCATGACCCAACTCCATGTCAGGTCGTGATAGCGTCCAATACCATTGCTAGACAAGCCAACAGTGAATAACTTAGTGNATATATATATATATATATATATGTATTGGATTTTTAAGGCAACCAAAACGGAAACAACTAAAAGAAATCATAATTATAGGAATACAACCAAAAATCAAGTCTACTAATATGTGCCAAGATCTAGTGTCACAAGTGTGTGGGCAACTAATGGAATATACAAAAAATGACTATCCTATTGTGAAATAGAATAGACAGGTACAAGCAAAAGAGAAACTCTGGCATGCTACTGAACGGCTAGAAAGGGGGCAGCTCACCGTGAAGTCTCAGCCCAAGATCAAGAATGCACGCCTGGCGGATAACTAGATGCACCTGCCTCAAATCCTGTACAATTAAGTACAGAAGCAAGGTATGAGTACATAAACAAAATGTACCTAGTAAGTATCCAGTCTAACCTCGAAGAAGTAGTGACGAGGGGTTGACTTGACACTTACTTGGGCCAACAATCATATAATTAAAGTGTTATGCTAGGCATAGATATCATGAATAATACTAAAAGTTCAATAATAGGAAGATATAAGATATTCTTTCATAAATAACATGTCAATTTCAGTCATATCATGTAACAACTTACATTTCAAAGCATTTAAGCAGTAAAAATTATGGAGAGTTCCAAATAATTAACATGCACAATTATGTCGAGGTCGTACAACCCGATCCAATATAGTATTAAAATGTGCACTACTGGAGGGTCGAACGGTGAGAACCATATATGCATCTATTTACTACCGAGGCGCTCGGCCCGATCCATAAATAACAATTTATTTTCAAGAAAACACAAATTTCCTATTTATAGTCAAGTATTTCATGCAAACTTTCAAATTAGTGAGTTTAACCTCATACAATTCCTTTATAAATTTCTAACATCATTTAAGTGATTATTTTAGTAAGTAAGGGCACAACATTTCAATTATAGCATGATACGGGTCCTAAACTACCCGGACAATAGCATACTAGTAGCTGCATACGGACTCTCGTCACCTCGTAAATACGTAGCCCCCACAATATGTTCAAACATGTATTTAATTCACCTGTGGGGTTAATTCCCTCTTGCAAGGTTAAAAAGGAGACTTACCTCGTATCAAAGCCTACTTCCAAAATTCAAGAACGCGCTCAAACCTCCAAATATGATGCCCAACAACTCGAAGCTAGTCAAACAGTACATAAACTAATCATCCATGCTCAAAAGTTCATAATTCCACCATTTAAGTGATTACCCAACCTAATTTGCAAGATTCCTAAAATTTACCCCCGAACCCACATGCTTGGATTCCGGAAATTTTTAAAGAAAGTTGTTACCAATAACCTAAGGAACATAAATATATGATTTTTACTAAATTCAATAATAAATATCGTGGTTAAATCTCATTTTTTCCACCTAAACCCGTGATTTTCACCAATTTACATGTTATAATCTACCCATAAACTATGTATTTAACTCACATTGTGTAGAAATTACTTATCTCAAAGTGCTAAGTCAAATCCCCTCTCTAAGAGCTCCTTAAATCGCTCAATAACGGAAGAAATGAGCCAACATAACCTAGCTAAGTCCCATTTTTGAAAAGTGTTTTGCCCAGGTCTTCCTTCTACGCGATAGAGGCCTTGCGATTGCGAAGTCAAACGGTCTAGGCCCAGGTAAATTACCCATCGCGAACGTGACAAGAGCCTCGCGAACGTGAAGGCTTGCTTGGCTTACCCTACGTGAATGCGAAGAATAAACAACGACCACCCAGCTCAGCCTCTTCTACGCGAACGCGAGCCAGGTCACGCGAATGTGATGGCTAGATGACCCAAGCCTCCACGAACGCGATCCTAGGCATGCGAACGCGAAGGGAAAAAGCTTCCCAGCCCACAGCACCCCAAATCCTTTATCGCGAATGCGAGAGTATGACCGTGTTCACGAAGAAGGAAATGAGAAGCAGAAATCTGGTGTGTTTAACTCAACTCCGGGCGGTCCGAAATGCACCCGAGCCCCTCGGGACCCGGTCCAACTACTCCAACAATTCTAAAAATATAATACGAACTTGCTCGAATTGTCAAAATGCATAAAATACAACAAAACCAATAATCACACCCCAAACCCAAACTGAATCAAACTTTGAACTTCAAGGCTCCGATCGCGTCCAATCATACATAGACTACTCAGATTGACACCAAATTTTACATGCAAGTGTTAAATGACATTACGGAACTATTCCAATTTTCGAAATTCCACTTGGACCTCAATATCACCAAAATCTCTTCAAATCCAAATTTAAAGAACTTCAAAAATCTTCAAGAACCAACTTTCACTATTAGGTGCCGAAACGCTCCTGAGTCACCCAAAACCCGATACGAACATACGCCCTAGTCCGAAATCATCATACAAACCTATTGGAACCGTGAAATCCTGATTTCGAGATCGTTTGGTCAAAATGTTGAGTGAAGTGAAACTTGGCCTTTAAAGCCAACCTTAAGGTACTAAGTGTTTCGATTTCAACCCAAACTCTTCAAAATCTTGAATTCTCACAAGTCGTAAATTAGTAAAAGAAAGTACGGGAAGTCTCATTTAAGGGAACACGTTTCTAACAAGAAAAACGATCGTTCGAGTCGTTACATTCTCTACCTCTTAAACAAACGTTCGTCCTCGAACAAGTTTAGATTCATACCTGAAGTGCTGAATAAGTGTGGGTATCTGCTTCGCATGTACTTCTTGGACTCCCAGTGTCACGACCCAATTCCCGATCCTGGTCGTGATGGCGCCTCTCATGAAGACAAGGCCAGCCAAACCAAACAAAACACCTCTTTTAAATAGTTAAATATCATAAATAGTTCTAAAGCATGATATAATATCCATAAATTGCAGAATTAACGATAACAATAGTAGAAACCATCCCGACACAGCCCAAACCGGTGTGTCACAAGTCATGAGAAACTAAGAAATCCGGATACAAGTCTACTGAACACTAAATATGATACAATAGTTCTACAAACATGAAAATGATAAGATAAGGGAGGCACGGGGCTGCGAACGCCAACAACTACCTCGTAGTCTCCGAATCACTGCCTGAACTGGGAGAATTAGCACTCAGGAGTGGACTCTACGATGTCTGAATTTGCACACATGGTGCAAGGAGTAATTTGAGTACTCCGACTCAGTGAGTAATAATTAAAAATAATGGCCGAAAGTATGAAAACACGCAAAGGCACAAATCAATTCTATATCAAGCAGTAAAATCACTTAAAGTAGTAATTCAGTGAAGAAATCAAATGATATTCCTTTTTAAAAACAAGTAAAACAGGTAATTTAACAGGTAAATAACAAGTAGAAATCTGCCCCTCGGGCACAGTATCAATCGCTCAGAACAGTATCAGCCCCTCGGGCTCACTCTCAGTACAGTATCAGCCCATCGGGCTCAGCATCAATCACTCAGAACAGTATCAGCCCCTCGGGCTCACTCTCAGATCATTATGGGTACCCGCGCTCACTGTAGGTGTGCAAACTCCGGAGGGGCCCCTTACGGCACAAACGCTATATCAAGCCACCTCGTGGCAACATCGCTCGGCACTCGGCCTCACATCACACGGCCTCACATCATTCAAGCCACCTCGTGGCATAGAAAGTATCTCATATCACTCAGCATGTCCTCACATATGGGCCTCGGCCTCACTCAGTCCATAAATCATCA